TTTCCTTATAATTCTATTAAGTTACTTGAAAGAAATTATGCAATTTGGCACAAGGAAAAGAGCTCACTTTGAACCCAAGTCATTCAGTCACTACTGTGGTAAAGCATTATTTTATGGGTTCTTGATTTCCTAATCATTTCCTCTGAGATTTATCCTGTAAGATGTCATTCAGCACTAATTACAGGGGAAATTGGAATATCCCTGAAATGACCTAAATAATAATTATTTTTTATGAATATGTACAGTTTATGTTATTATTACTACGAATATATGCATTATTCCAGAAAGGCTTTATTTTACGATCATGCAAATTTTCTAAGAAGTTTTAATAAAGAAAACATTATTTTTCCTGACAAATATGGTCTCAATTCTGAATGACTTTGGATGAATGTTCATATAGTTGAATGCATTTCACCAGTAAATGCTGCATTCATTGGAAACAAGGTTTTGTTCTGACAGTACATACAGTATGGTTCTGCAGTTAGCAGATGGAGTCAGCAGCTAACACTTTTACTTCTCTGTTCTATACTTTTAAGCACTTCACTATTGTCTTTCTATTCAACAAACAACAACAGATAGGCCAACGAAAAACAAAAGGATTGAAATGACTTTTTGTTTACTGTGAATGTTTTGGCCACTGTTTTAGTGGAGGAAGGTTTTGGTCATTGGAACTGTGAAGGAATGGCCAGCTGCAAAGATGTGTGCTTGTTAAGTTGGACATTTGGGTATAGGTCTTAAATGAGCAGCAGAGTTATGTGGGTTATAAGCACTCTCACACACAACACTATAAAACTGTCTGGATTTAACGGGATGATTAATGCCTCTCAGACTGCAGAATGAAATATGAGGTAATCCGACTCCCCATTCCCAGTCAAAACATGCCCAACATGAGGGCAACCCACATCCTGCTACAATGAATGAGGGAGCCTTTGTCATTGTGCGTCTCAATTTGCGCCACAAAATAAAGATTGCATTTTCTGTCAGAAAAAAACCAAAGTGTATAATATTACTTTTGGGTGCAAAGGTTGTGTGTGTCAGCACATAACAGGCCATGTGGACTCTGAATTTGATCACTTGTATATATCTTCACCAAGGGCCAGTGAAACAGAGTGGCTTGAGGGGAACACTGGTACCTATACAGGAAACGGTAACTTAACAGAGGGACTTAACAACACTAAAATGATAAAAGACACCCTAAACAGGATATTAAACAGCTAATAAACATTTAGAGGCATGTATGTTTCCCTTTAAATCCTGCAGGCATCTTGAGGAAAGTGATTGTTTGAATTTCCACGGTCTGTTGAATGCATACTGTCGACCACAACTGATGCAAGTGAGTCATGTGGAGGTGAGATAATAACGTCATGCCATTAGACTGGCAATTTGGGGTGGCATGAGGGACTCCTGGTACACATAAGCCCATGTGTGACCGAGGCATTCATGCATGAAATACAGTCAAATGATCAATTCTGTCATTTATACGTAGCTTTAAAGAATATCCCAGCTCTTTATACTCAATTTTAAAAGGCTAAATTAAAAGATTAAATGATTAACCAAGAGTTAATTTGCCTATTGTCTATGGTGGTTAATGTGGTTGTTGATGAATGCCAAATGACTAAATAATTATGTGGGCAGGTGCTGAGATTTTCTGGCTTTCATTTACCAGCCGGATTTGCAACAAGAAGTCCACACTTGCTGGAATTTCAGCACACTCCTTCGCATGCTGGCATCTTCAGCTGCTCAGCAGTAGAGGCTCTATATGAAGGATAGGAAATGGCCTAATCATCAATAAATAAACAAATAAATAAATAAATGGGCATTAATTAATAAAATGATATGTGTTGAGACATAAATCATAATTAAATGCACGAAAACAAAGTATGTATTGTTTTTGTATTTGTGTAATAAGTTAGGTTGTACTTACCTCAATCTAGAGCCATAGAAATACATGAATAAATAGATATATATGTAGAAATTGACATCTGATCAATTACTAATATGTATTTATTTATGCATTGAATTTAATTTCAGCATTTATTATTAATATAGAATTATGTATTATTAATTATTACCACGTTTATTTGATTATTTCTGCATTGATAACCCTAAACCTAACCCTTATCAGAATTTCAACAATTCTATTTTTTTATTTTTATTATTTATGTATCTTTAGTCCTTCCTGAGTGATCCATGGTTTAAAAGCCTTTCTCTCAAAGCAGAATACTTATAATCTCTGTTCTGATTTCTCACTCGCCAACATGTGCCAGATCTATTGAAATTGCCGCAGCTCCTACAAGCTGCCAATAGAGGTCACTAAAAGGAGCGGACTGCTGGATACCTGTTTATAACGTGAACATAAAATACCGAGATCAGACATCAGAAACAGCTCAGCACTGCTGTGCTGCTTGGCTGTCGGTTCATGTTCACAGCAGCCTGGAGCTTTGGGGCTCGAGGGTACATTAAGGGGTAAAAGGATTTCAAATAGCAGCACAAGAAGCAACTTTCTGTCAAGGACGTGAATTTGGCAACGCATTGCACTTGTAGATACTTAGTTGTCAGTCAATTGAATATAAATCTCAGTGAAAGGAACCAGCTTGTGTCTGGATGAACTCCTGCATGTGTGGATCTCCGGCCAAGGCATGAAAGGCCTCACCGAGAGGTGCACCGCTTCAGAATGAGGAGACGGAATACGGAGGCCAGTCACATGCTTAGTGGTGGAAGAAGTATTGACATCCTTTACTTCAGTAAATGTTCCAAAACCACAACAGAAAACTATTCCATAACACGTAAAAGTCCTGCATTCCTCAGGGGAAAAAAGAAAGTATTTTGCTTATTGTTCCATGACTTGGATGTTTGAGTTTTTTACACAAGACGGCTGTTTTCAGATTCATCTGTTGAAGGACGAAAATTTCCTAATTTACAACCGGTTTAGAAACCAGCTAACTTAAATAATACCTTTCAGATAAATGTAGTAGAAAGTACAGCATTTCCCTCTAAAGTACTTTAGTACAAGTACCTCAAAAGTGTACTTAAGTATGGTTCTGAAAGACATACTTAGTTATATTGCAACACCGACAGATAAATTGTGTCAAGAAGTGATTTGATCTTTGGATACTGTCTGGAGTCTGGACACGGGGTGCTCTTTAAAACGCTGATGCTAAAATCCCCTTTTTTTTTATCTTCGGTGTGAGTCTTTTTAATTTGTCTCTACCTTTGGCTTTAAATGCTCAGTGCTTGAGTCAAGATGTGAGTGATTGTGGTTAAACACAAGCGCTTCAGGCAAAGTCATCAAAACTAAAAATTACCAGAAAAAAAACATAAAAACGTAATTGTGCAGATTTCCCTTCTACCTCTCATGTTCACAACAATGCTGTTTGATGGCCAATTTTTTCTTTCCACTTTGCAGTATGAGAGTGCATGTTTTTTTTGGGGAGGGGGGAGGGGGGGAGGGGGGGGGGGGGTTGTGCATTGTGCATAGTGTCCCTCTAAAAGTGACATTTACTGAGCTGAATGATCCAGCTGCGGTTCTAGGGAGGATGTATAGTGTTTCTATTAGAGAGCCACTTCAGCCAGAGCGGCCTGAGCAGCAGTAAAACTATTGTCGCGGGCTGTTAACCAGCATGTGTTGTAAATGAATGGCCCAAATGGTGCTCATTAGTGGTCTCTCCCACACCAGCCACCGCATAGGAGAGGGGCTTAAAAGGCCCAGCCCCATGCCAGGGGACAAAACAGGTCCAGTGCAGGAGCAATAGTTGCATTTTTACATTTATACAGATCCACTAATTACCCACTGAAAGGCGGGATCAGGCCTTGTGATGCATGGGATGTCAGGCTGTGAAAAGAAGCATTCCTCACAGGCAATGCACTCACATCTCAAAAGTGAACACCAACAGGCTGTCAAAATCTGTCTTGACTTTGCCAAAGTTGTTATACTTTTTCTCTAATTCCCTAAGAGGCATGCAGCGAGGGTCATTTGTCTGCTGCTCGCTGTCGAACTAATTACACTACATGGTGTTTTTAGAGAGCTTTAGTGGCTGGCTGATTCTCAAACAACAAACCCCTCTGGATGGTCACAATATGTCTTCCAAATATTCAAGTAATAGCAATATTTTGCATGGTCTTCTGTTTTTTCTCAAACACCGGAAGCCTATTTGTTTCTAGGCTCGGATCCCTTTATATACAAAAATTTGAAAGTGTATCTAGTTGCACAACCACAGCTGTTGGGGTCTGTGATTGTCTGAGGACAGAAACATCTGCCTCTCTCGGGTATAAAGGCTTAATGCTGTTGTTGAAACAGAAACCCAAAATGAGGTCAGTGTTGTTCTCAGACTTCATTATCAAACAAACAAAACAAAAACTTCTGAGTCGTATGATGAATTCATGTCTTATTTAAAGGAAAACACCAGTGTTTTGCTGCAATACTTTGGCCTGTGTAACCATTTTAAAAAGATGCTGTATATTCCATCGGTGTTCATTCGTTTCAATGACTTCCACTTCAGTCAACTTGCAAAACTGTAAAACTATAATCTACACGTTGTTACACAGTAACATTTGCATTGATGCATGATCATTCAGTCACAAGTATAGAATGAACTCTGCATTACCATCTACAGTGATCTATGTAACACACTGAAGGAAGTATCAGATCATTTACTGCATTAAAAACGGTACTGACATTAAAAAAAACAGAAGTATCATGTTAACGATTTCCTTTCAGTATAGAATTCAAAGTACCCACTATGCAGGCAAAATGCCCTCTGTCAGAAGTATTTTATTACATATTATATCATTAGATTGTTACTACTGTGGCATTAACATGTTTATATTGTATCTTGTTTATATGATGTTGGGCAGTGTATTGCATTTTATTATTTTATACTTTTTTAAATTCTTAATCTAAATGTAATTATATTAATTGTTTTAAGGACTTTCTTGTTTGAACGGTCCTCTACAACCGGAACCTTTGTTATTACACAAACGTTCCATCCCGGAAAGGTTATCTTGTAGTACATGCTAGTAGCTTCTAGCGGAAGGTAAACAGACATCTTGATCAACATGGCAGAGGTAAACTAACGTTGATGAAACCATATTTTTTTCGCACGTCAGTGGTGTGTGAACAACTCTTTCCTAATGTCTGATTTCAGGCCTGTTTTCTGGACGTGCGTCTGATTAAAAAGCTGAACAGTGACAGCTCTCTGGTCAGTAGGTAACTTGACGGGTTAACGTTAGCATCATGTGTATCGTGACTACTAGCCTTAGTAGTTGTATCATTGTTATTAACAAGCTAGCGACATTGTCGCTAACATGTTTTTATTAATTTTTTTTACGAGGAGCGAAGCTGCGTAGCGGTAGTTATAACCGCTTAGTTAGCTGGATTTGAGAAGTGACGCTACGTTAATTGGCAGCGTGCTAATTGCACATCTGGCAACACAACTGGACCACAGGGCAACACACTGGCTCCAGGGAGTAGCGAGACATCATAGAAACTTTGCCTCGTGACAGTGTAAAGATGGCAACGCTAGTGAGCGATGACAGTAGTCCTTCACTGCCATTTATCTGCTAAACGCCAACGTTAGCTCACAGCAGTTCACACAGTAGAGCTAAGCAGCGTTTACGTGCTCATTCTGCATCAGATGTTGGTCTAGTGCAGAGAGGACTAGAAGACAAATCAATTCCCCTAATCGATGCCAGAAAATGAATAGACACTCATATAATCAATACATAATTAAATGTATGTATGTAATCTTAAAGTAGGCCTTTGTGAAGATCAGACATTATGACAACAAATGAAATGGTTTTCCTCCTGTGACATATCAGGTGTCTTCTGTGAAAAATAATGTCTCACTACCTTAGGTGTCCCCCCCCCACCCCATGAAAACACCATGTTTTCATTTAATTAATAAAGAGTATGAACTTTCAACTGTTTGTATTCTTTCAGCTTGACTCTACGTGATACAAACATAAAGTTACCGTTAATGAAACCTGCTCGGTGATGAACAGACAGAGGGGTGTTGTATCAATGTATAATAATACTAATTGTCGTCTCCTGTACTCACAGACCCACAGCTTGCAGGACATGAGGCAGCAGGCAGCCGTTGCTGCCAAAGTCTTCATTCAGAGAGATTACACCAACGGCACCGTGTGCCACTTCCAGACCAAGTTCCCCTCTGAGCTGGAGTCCCGGGTAGGACGCACCTCCTCACTGATCTTCAGACATGACTTGTATAGATTCCTTGTGATGAAGATTATATCGGGCATGAAAACATTGAGGATATTTGGTGTCCCACTGAATCCATACAGACTTTTGGAGAGAGTACAATCCAGTCATCTACCACATGAGGCTGCTGCTGTTACTGCTGCTGTGCACTGACACTGTGGTGTGTGATTTGGTTCCAGCTCTTGATTATAAAATAGAGCTGGCAGGTACAATTTGACAACTTGAAACTCGAGAGAAATGTCTTAAACGTCGCTGGGCTGCATTTTTATGAAATAAAACGATAATCTGGCCTCGTGTCACATCAGTCGGCCGCGTCCGGGCGCCACCTCACTCCTTCCTCCTCTCTTTGCAGTCTCTTATAGAACTTTCCCTTTGACACTTCTTCTGTTACTGTGATGGCAAAGATAGATTTATGGACTCTACGCAGCCGGGAACACGCATTATAATCGCTCTGTAGACTACAACTGCCAAATACAATAGTGATGTACCTCACAACAAACAAGCACACACACACACACACACACACACACTCTGCCTCACACACAGTCATGGAACAGGTGCTACAGCAGTATTGCCATGCATATGAATTGCAGCCTTCATCAGGGTCGTCATAAAAAACGTTCCAAAAATTTTAATCTATAAAAGACAACCAAACACACACACGTACATATCAGCCAATGGGGCACCCACGCAGGGATGTGGTCATGTGACTTCAGGCCAGTCAGTTTCAGTCCAGTCTCTTAACATCCCGACCAATGGAAAGACCTTCAGCATTAAGAATTGTATTACTGCATGTATGAGGTAGCCAGTCCTACTGCGAGACATCTCAAAGAAATTAAACTTTACTTTTCATACTGTAGCCATAGGAATTATGAAGTGAAGGAAGTCCAGCCAAAGAGGTGGTGATGTCCATTTTGTCAGACAAAAGAGAAAGTGGGGTTCGCACAGTCTGTCTGGGGGATTCAGCTCAGCGGGTCAGGGACGGTCGCTCGGTGTGGGAGGATCCCCTCGTGGGACCTCTTCCTGGCCCTCGTCCACTATATTTCCTCAGTGGCAGTATGCCACAACCGGCTCTAGGTTGGCTTCTAAAGGCCTGGGGTTGGGGGGGGTCACGGTGGTTTACAGCACCGCTCCACACTTAGTGCTCGCTGCACTCTCTCTCTCTCCGGTGTCCTCAACCTGCGCCGCTGTCGCCAACTCGTCTTGAAACACGGACCCCTGTCTGCTTTACTCATGCTCTGTGGGTGTCACTTTTCTTAGGAGCAGGCACCGGCAGTGATGTGGAGGAGGAAGAGCAGGTCGCTGAGACCCAACAGCCCCTAATGTCACATTAAAGAAGGTGCCAGCCAAAAATACTGTTCAGAGTTCGCAGGACAGAAGGGTTCAGTTTTTAAATGTGTGCACCACATGAAAGGAGCAGCCTCAGAACACTTAAACCGCTCGCTGGTGGTTTATTGGCACTTCCCTCTTGATTGGGTGGTCTCCCATGTTTTCCGGTAGGATTCAGTTCACACAGACACACTGAACTGCCGGACAAATAAAGAATGCTCCCTCCTCTGGGATCAAAATGACTTCCCACGTATATTTTTGAATGTTTTACTGTAATCCTACTTTAAGAAATATGCAGTGTTATGCCAAGCTGTTCAGTGGCTTCCATTTTTCATTTATGTCTCTTTGTACGATGTTTGCAGAACCTCATGTTGAAATATCGCTCCAGTTCCTTTCAGCCTGTGCTTGGTTTTACCATGCAGTTCAGCTCTTGATTTGCTGTAACATCATCATTCTTGCACGTAACTATCTAAGGCAGCGGACTATGTTATTTTTGGTAGTTCGTTCCTGTTTTAATGCTTTTTGGAGAATTGCACCAAAGAACTGGGAAAGCACTCAGTGTTCTTAATGCATTTGGCAACTAGATCGCCAAACCGTTCAAGAGACTTTCAGTTATTAGGGTTTGGAGGGATTTAGCAACTTTTGGAGCTAATGCTGCAGTTACTTTCATTGGAAAAGAGTTAGCAACACTGGGCTGGGTTTTTCTCTTGAATCCTTGTTTTTTTAATCTAGCTTGCTCTTTCTGGTTTCTCCAATGTATCCTTCCCTAGCTTTAAGATAAATCCCTCATCCTCACTTGAGTGTGTAAGCCCTGTTCAGCCGTGCAATCCCATCTTAACATTTTTGGAACGCTAGACATAGTGGAAAGACGTTCAGACGGCGAAATGTGGTTTGAATCGGAGCCTTTGAATCGGAAAATTAGAAGGAGAACAAAGGCTCCCAATGGCGGTAATCAAACATGCCTTAGACCACTGACATGTTGGAGCTCGTTGTTGCATTCCTCGGTCACAGGGAGCAGAACATTGGAGGGTTTACAGAGGCTCAGGAGGCCCTCACATGCTCCACTTCTGGTCTGGAGGCTCCTTCTTTTTCCCCCCTCAGTATCATCACCAGATCCACTCTGGAGTCCAAACGGTCTCCGAGTCCAGCAGCTCTTCACCCTCCATCCGTCTTCCCCGCAGCAAGCCTCAGTTTGAAGGAATTTGTGAGAAACACTGATTTGATTATCAGCCAGTCTTGGCTACAGTTGGAAGCTGTCTGCAGTCTGCAGAACATCAGAGATATGTCTTTATCTTAGTCCAGGTGTGCCTGTGCCAAGGATCAACATTCCTTTCTGGATTGTCACTGTGTGTGTGTCCTGCTTTCAGCACGTTTGTCCTGTCAGTTCTTAAGTGAGAACATTCACAGAGCATTTTGCCAAGGCATCCCAGTAATTCCAGGGGGTGTTCCAGTACGGGAAGGTGGCCCAGCAATCCCATGATGCATGACCAGCCCAAGAAAATACACCTCCTCATTTATCTAGAGATGGATCGAATGGAAGGAAACAATCTGGTGCTAGACGAGTTTCCACTCGGATATCCCAACAGAGACAGAAAGCTCTCAGACACTTCCAGTCCAAGTCTACATTTGGCTCTGTGCCTAAAGGTTTTGACCCTTTGATCTTTCTTCATGTTTCATGTGTTTCAGATCGACAAGCAGCAGTTTGAGGAGACGGTGCGGACGCTGAACAACCTGTACGCCGAAGCGGAGAAGCTGGGAAGCCAGTCGTACATTGAAGGCTGTCTGGCCTGCCTCACGGCGTACATCATCTTCCTGTGTATGGAGACTCACTACGAGAAGGCGAGAGATGTTGCACCTGTGGAGCACTTTACGCCCCTTGTCCCGCATCACCGACGAGAGCAAATGAAGAAAACGGCGTGTAAAATGCTACGAAATGCAAGCTTTGATGCTCGCAGTACTATCCGTGTGAACCGGCTGCCTACTCCGATGATGTCGGGTCTGGGCTGGGCCTTTTCGGAGCATTTTACCTGACCGATAGTTCTCTTCATTTAGAATTACCGGTATAGGAAGGAGAACAGGGTGTGGTTTACTTAGTTGCAATTGACAGATTTCTGCTTGCGTTTGCAACCAGAGTGGTCGCTCTCTGGAGCCTCGTGATTCTTTTGAACTATTTAACCCTTGTGTTGTCTTCACTTTCTGTATACACTACTTGTCCTAAGGGTCAAAAATGACCCGCCTTCACTAAACCCCTAAAATAAAACAGCTTGATTGCATTTTAAATCCCAAATCTATTTTGCTTAAGAAACAACTTGTCATTCATCACAAACTTTGTGAATATCTAAGTTTTTCCTCTTCACAGTGCAGAAAGACTGTGTTTAATCAGTGGAATCCACTTCTCCCAGACCTCTCTTATTGTGTGACAGACAAACTCCCAGCCGCAAGTTTGTCTGTCACACGCCTTGCAGGTCTTGACTCACGATTATCAAATCGTATCGTTTTTGATAAAGTATGAAAGACTTTCAGTGACATCATTGCACGGAAAATCGCCCTTCCACTCTCTGCATCCCAAAGACTAGATGCAGCCTCGCCTCGGGACCTATATACACCTGCTAAGAATAGCAGCCCAAGCAGGTCAATCTCATCCATCCATTTCCAATTGTCTGGGGGTGCTGTCATCTGCAGCACCTCTATAGCCTCTGACTGCATTCCCCATTAGTAAACAATGCTTTCAGGAAATGTTTATTCTCTCTGATCTTGTTTGTATTATGTCTGTGAACTTCAGCCAGGTGTGGGGTCGTGGAGGGGACATGCTGCATATTCGCGAGAAAGTTTTTGTGTTCCCTGAGTTTAATCAGGAGCACATGTAATCTCAATTTTGTGTGTGTGTGTATGTGTGTGTGTTGTGGTGTGTTTTTTATGGTTTCTGTGGTTTTCTGTAGTATGATGGAATGATTTTATAACTACCGGGTCAAAAATGACCCCTAAGACAAGATGTGTACACTGTTGGTGTACAGCTTTTATGGAAATATGAACAAAGGCAATGTTTAACTTTTTTTCATGTTGGGGTCATTCTAGGACAAGTCATTGAATTTCAAGTTGAAAAAAGATCATTAAAGGGGTTTCCTATGCTGTTAAACATAGTGACGGGTCATTTTTGACCCCTAAGACGACACAAGGTTTAATAACAATGAGTGTCAATCACCTTATTGCCGTAGTTAGAGGCGTCTTCAAACCTGCCTCTCTGAAACAAATCAGAGGGCCCTCTCCTAACATGAAAGCCCATGAATCAACCAAAAGCAAAATTGACACATACATCAACAGAACTATATACAGATTATACAAGCAAACAGATGGTAACATATTAATGTGAGCCATGTGGGCATTTCTGGAAACAATTTGTAACCACTACATAATGAACAGTCTATGGTACACTACGATTCAAATATTCTGAATCACTGTAGTACAAGACAAATTGTGGTGTAAGAAAAGTGTAAATGTTCTACAAGCTGTTACAGGAGACATTCCTCATTTAAATGACCTTGAGTCATGTCATACAACATAGAAACCCACTGAGCTTCACAGTGAAGCTGTAGTAAGCGGTGGATCACTTTTTCTACACCTCCACACCTGAGTTGGGAAACAATATGATTGTTTTCTTTAAAGTGAGGAGCAACAGGAGAAGTATTATCGCCTGATTTATGTTGTGAGATTGATCTTTATTGGTGACATGGCTGTTCATTATGTAGTTGTCCTGTTGTTGTCCATATTGGTTTGAAATTGTTCTAGATTTTCCCTTTAAGTCAGTTCCCTAAAGGAGCTGTGTGTAGGATTTAGTGGCATCTAGTGGTAAAGTTGCAGATTGCATCCAGCTGAACACCTCCGCTCACCCCTCCCTTTCCAAGCGTGTCGGAGAACTAGGGTGGCCTTCAGGTAGCGTAACAGTACCCTAAAATGAATGAAATTATGCATGGCCAAAGACAAGGAAAAACAAAGATAAGGTGACATGCAATTTTTTAATTATTCCTGCAAAGTGTATATCTTTTAAAAACTTTATTTAGCCTTACTAAATGAAACTAAGCAAACACGTGTGTTGAACCTTTCCAATGCAGTTTCACAGTCCTGTCTGTCCGAGAAGCACGCTCAACAAAGCTTGCAATGGAAGACAGAGTAGAGACGGAGCACAGCGCTTCTGAAAACCACGGCCACAGGAAAGGAAAACAATCAGCATCCACAATATGCAACCGAGGCCTGAAACGCAAACAAATGAGCTGTAGCTACCTAAAAGCATGAGATCGCAGCACCCCATGTCTACCAGGGGTGGCATTGGTAACTAAAATGATGATGGAGGATGATGATGACAAGGTTAGCACGCTAATGTTAGCTATGTGTTAGCAAGCATCTGTAATTAGCGAAGGCACTTGCAAACATAATCTTTTGTAAACGTAGTCACTTATTCCAGGTTTGCCATCCATTTGAAGACACGTATGTGAAACTGTGATTGCTGTGCCCTTTTAGGTTTTGAAGAAGATCGCAAAGTACATACAGGAGCAGAATGACAAGATCTACGCACCGCGAGGCCTCCTGCTCACCGATCCCATCGAGAGAGGCCTGCGAGTCGTATCCTACCAAAAAGTGTCGTAGTGCTGTAGCCGGGAAACACTTTGTTCTCTTCACTCAGCTGGTATTTTTCCTCAACCTTAACTGTTGAGCCATGTGTAACTTTACAGGTCAGACGGAGCGTGTTTTAGCAGCCTGTTGCGGCTTTTTGTGATTGTTTTTAGTGGCCGTTACGTTACTGACCGCCTCGCTTTTTTCCCGCCCTGTGCGCGTGTGGGCACTATTAACTATTAGGAAGCGTACAGTTCATAGTTTGTGTTCCGCTTGCATGAGCACTCATTTGGTGTTTGACTTTAAACTTAAAAGAAAGGTTTTTCTGTCTGAATGGTCCTGAATTACCGAAATGTTCAGGCATTTATCTGACTCAAACTCAGATTGGCAATCATACAAACAAATTACTCACACAGTCGAGGTTTAAAGCAACAATGTTTTTTACAATAAACCAAAAAAAATCTTGACTGAGGGTGTCTGGCAAAGAGGAATGATAAGTTGAATATTTGTGGTAACTTAAACCCTGAGATCAGGAAATGTGAATGGAATCCCACCACAGCTTCAACAAGGAGCTTTCACAATGACCTAATAGATGAAGTGATTTACGGGCCTTCTGCCCCCATCACGTCTTACCCTCTAACTGCTGGTTGAAAATGGAAAGCAGCAGTCCGAGCAGCTTACAGGAAATCCAACGCTATGTAGGGATACCCTGTAAAAACACCAGATAAAAGTTACTATGTAATCCATAGCATCTGTGTCAGCGGGTGCACCAACATCCTGGCTGTGCCAGCGAGTGTGTGTGTGTGTGGGGTGACTCAACATCTCAATTGTAACTGGGCGGCAATGAGGGATTAGGGATAACAAAATATGACTGAAATTGTTCACAGCTGAGCTTTGTTCCTTCTCTCGCCCAGGACTCTGTAGCGTTGGCAGTGATCTGGATTATTTCTCAGACACTGTCGGGCTGCTGTGCTGACTTTGGCACAGGAGCGCCGGCAGATTGACAGGAATGTCTCACCTGAACCGAAGTGACTGCTCAATAATACCATCTGAGTATTTACATTCCCTTTAAGACTGAAGCTTTGTTTGTACTTAGGCGTGGCGCGAGCCTCCACAGATGGCACAAAAGTCAGAGGTTCGCAGCCGAGCAGCCTTCGTGCTGGACGCGCAAGCCGAGATGTGGCAAGTTTCAACCTTGGGCCGGCTTCACTAACGCGAGTATGAACCCAGCTTGAGGGGTTGAAGTCCTTTCCAAGCCCCCGGGAGGTGAATCAAATGTAACATAGTGGGCAATCTTTGGAAACTTCCGGGTCCGTCCGGTGATGCCTTTGGCCCCAAAAACACTTTGCCCCACTGCTCCCCAATGTATTGACTGTATTGCTGAGTTACCTTCTGCCTTCATTGGTGGGGGTGCTTAGGTTTAGGCATGAGGAGTGAGATTAGTTAGGTTTCGGGTAGGAATATCAGGGTTAGCCAACCAGAGGCAGAGTGGGGCGGGTCATGCTTTCGTCGTAGACTTCTTACATCAATTTACATAATTATTAGCCACGTGCTTCTGTTTGATGCACGGAGAATGTATTTTGGAGCAATCATGGGGTAATCTTATACTTGGAAGTCTGACTTTCTTTTTGCTTCGTGCGCCACTGAGCAACTTTCATAGGAATGGAGCTTTGCCTCCAACGCTGTGTTGAGTTTTCTTCATTCATCCATGATCCTTCCTCCTCATGTTAAACACAAACTCTAAATATGCTTGTGATGGTGAAGCCCGATTTCAGCTTGAAGAAAGTCATGCCAACAATCTAGCCAAGTCTAGCAAAATGTAAGTCAGCTACTGCCACAAGCAACAACCACAGAAAGGCTTGAAGGTAAGATGCTGTTACCACAAACACGGCCAAACTCTGCTTCATGCTCTGTTGATGAATCAATAGCTGCTGTACCTTTGAGTTTGTATTTTCTTGAAGACTATTCAGTTGGCTTTCATTGAATGTAAAATGAGTCCGACCTTGCTTTAAATGTGCTTCCTTGACTGAATCCTGTTCAGATTGAGGTTACCGTGTTTGAAGAGAGAAGCCTGACGAGATAAAAGCTGCCACGGTGAGTCTGGTAAATAATATTCTATGTATAACGACTTTAACACTTTCTGTCGAGTACAGATTTGTTGCTGGGCTGTTGAGTATTTACACAAACACGCACACATTTTTAAAAGCGCACAAATACTTTTTTTCTAATTATGAGTCACATTCAGCGCAAAGAAAAAGTGCTGGAGTCAAAGAGCGGTAATAAAAGAGGGCTCACTCTTTGTGTACCATTGCTTTCATGCAGAATGCCTCCTCTGCATTTAAAGCAAAATCCCACATCAAAGTTTAAAGCCTCTTCATCTGTGAGTAATAGTGGTTAACTGCTTTACAGTCAGGATAGCTGTTTCATAAAGCATTTAAAGGATTTCTGCTTACTTTATGACTTTACGTTGCATAGAACTCTGTGTCATTTGCCTCACTGAAGGCTATAAAATATGCACATGGACCACTGTCGGAGTGCTGCTGTCCAGAGCACATGAACAAGCCAAGCAGCAGCTGAACCCAAACAGTGATCAGGCGTTCTTTGAGCACGGCACACACCAGCAATTCTGATTTATTTCTCAAATCAGATCTTGAGACAAAGTAATTGGATGGTGTTTGTGTGTGCAGACATCAGCAACTTATCTTTATAGGGTGGTAACGACGTAGGCGTGAGAAATTACGTAGCTACGCTGATGATGCGCCTTTCTAACCAGGAAGCATTCGCCCTAGAAAACAAACGTGCTGTCAAGTCACGGAGCAGAGCGGCTGGTATAAATTGTGAGGGGGGAAGCAGCAGAAAGTGAGATCAGAGTGAAAAAGAAAATGCCAGCAGACAATTTATTTCGGCGTCTGTCCACAGACTGTTCTCCAAATGTGGTTTGGATCCGATTTGCAAAAATCACTTTTCATGTGTTTTTTTTTTTTTTTTTTTACTGTCCAGACTTTCTAAAATCAATCAATCTGTGGCTCAGAGGTAGAGGGAGTCGTCCCCTTAACAGAAGGTCAGTGGTTCAATCCCCAGCCCCTCAAGCCTGCATGTTGAAGTGTCCTTGGGCAAGATACTGAACCCCAAATTGCTCTCAAAGGCTGTGCTTGAATGTGCATCCCTTTAGATCCTGATGGACAGGTGGCACCTTCATGTTGACATGACGTGCACAGCTCCTTGAGCGGTCGAAAGACTAGAAAGGCGCTGTGTACACGCAAGTCCATTTACCAAGTCCATGCCAGAAAAGTGATCTGAGCTGACAGTTTGAACGATGCCGTACATGTCTTTAAAGAAGCTCGAATCAAACTATCACATTGTTTAGTTTGCTGGCCGCCAGGGTTCTGCCACATTGAAGCCCTGTGGGTGGAAGTGGGAGAGTAGGCCCTTAGTTTGAAAGCATTGCTCACTAGTGAGATACTTGTATTTGTGTCTCCATCAACCGAACACAAACTGTAGCAGATACTTCTCTCTTTTTGCATATTTTGTATTGTTGATGCGACTGACTCTGCTAGGGAGCTAAAGAAAGCAACAGCAGCAAAACAACTACAGATCCCATGAGATCAGAGAAATATAGAATGCAATGCAGACGGACGAGAGGAGAGACGGCAGCAAGAGTGAGACAAATTGAGAGTTGTGGCATGAAAATATAACGTGAGCAGAACTTCACAAGACAAACGGCAACAAAGTACTTTGTAGGTATTCATTTGGGAAAATCCGTTTATAGCCCTTCACGTTGGCACTGGCGGCACTTAAACTTCCTTCCGTTTCTACCTTTCACAATAAAAGCCATAGAAATGTACGCTACATCGCCGCTTACCGGGCGGAACTTAAATGCACTCTCAGCATTTCGCTAAGAGGCAACGCAATAAAATAGCTTTCAGTATTTATCACAGAAATGCATGTCGTTACTTATTATGGATGGACCACCAGCCCACGTTGATCTTGCACGTTTTAACTGTGCGACAGCTTGGCTTAATTAACGGCGCAGAGAAAATGACGTCTAGTGTTTTTTTTTTTACTTTGCTGTTTGCAGGCTGTCATGCAGTCTACTAATAAAGGATTATCTTATCTTATCTTACTAAAGTCTGTCTACAGCAGCATTAGCAGTGTACTGGCTTTTATTTCTGCTTTCTAAATGTAAGAGGTTCCCAATGCAAAGGCTTTTAATTCCTAGAGATACTGTATCTGCATTGTGATATAATAGGCAGGACAGTGTCCACAGATGGCTTTGATATACCTGCAGATCTTTCACGGTCATTGCCTCAAGAGCACGGCTCATCTCCCATAAATTGTTTCAATCTGTGTCACATTAAATCCCTTCTTTTTCCAGCAGTGCACTGAGAGGAAGTTTGTTTTCATGGTGTCATTCTGGGATGTGCTGGGCCCAAAGTCATACTGAAAAGTACTTTGCATAGACGCTGGACGGGGCCCAGTCTGCACTGTAGCGTAGATGCTACCGTCAGGCAGAGTAAGACATACGCCATGAATATTTCACCTGTGGGGAATGTTGTGTTTGGCAAGTGATTTGAGACCATCCACCCCTGTGGATGGATAACCCATTGGCCTATTACCGTACAGAAGCATATAGGGATTTATCTTCCCATTTGAAATTCCTGCTGAGCGCCTGGACACATAAACATGTCCTATTGAGGAATGTAAACCCAGGACTTTTATAAGTAGCTGTTGAAAGAAAAGTGTGTTGGAGCTTTGCCATAAAGACGGGATAAACCACAGCCAGCGAGCAGAGAGTGTATCCATCCTTCCCAGAGTTTAAGCCTCTCTATCCTGCCATGGTCTCTTCTTCTCTGTCTCATGCAGGCTCACACTGATACACCTGAGTATCAAACAGACATGAGCCTTTTATTAAAAATCATATTCGGCCAATAAGTCCCAATTTATGTGTAACCTCACCTCTGAGCCTTAGTCCACCCACTGCATCATTTTTGGAAAAATGGGCAAGGAGGAGCTGAGAGATTTAACCACGCCCACTTTCGTTGGCGAAGGCTTCGATGCAGCGTTGTCAAACATGACGGCTACAGTAGCTTGGATAATAGCAATGCGAGGCGCTGAATTTGATTAAATTACTGTTTATCAATCACAACGAGACAACACGACCCCCCGCGGACCCTCTGCCTCCCTCCCCACAGCTGGAAGACCACCTTGCTCAGAGGCGAGCTGTTGACAGCTTCCAATACGGACCGCCACAGCAACTCCAAATGTAGCTTTGTTCTCACAGATGTAACGTCATGGAGCAGGGGCCCAGCGTTGTTCTGTAACCAGTTAGCAAGAAAATATGGCGGAATCAGGAAGCTAACGTTAGCTAGCTAACCAGCCAGCCCCTAAATGAGAAGAATTCAACTTAAGGCTTCATCTACACACTCTTGTCACAGTGTTGGAAAGCTAGCTGATAGTTTAATTTCCAGTCTGATTAGAGGGTGTAACATGCTCCACACAGACAGTTCGCAGCCAACGCAAAATACCAATACGCAATATAGTACCACACTAGTATATCTCAGAGCCGATCAAAATAACAATGCTATCTCAGACTATAGTTAAAATAGCCATATTCCAAAGTGGCAGAAACGAGAAAACAACATATTTTCTGGGCAGATCTTACACATTGCATCTTTAAGCTCCATCATAATCATATAACAGCTTCCCCCTCTGCCAGTTCACCAACATCAGGCCTGTAACAAATCTGCAGTGAAACCTCCCTGTCTCTACTACAAGGAAACCTATAGTTCAGAAGTATGTTTGTTTTTTTTAATTGGCTAGAATCAGTATTTTTATTTACACAACTGCTAAACTAAAACAGTATAACTATTCAAAAAACAGAAAGAAGTATATAATATAAAGAAAGGAAAAAGCCATCTGAAAGTTGCACATGGGAACAATGTCCACCTGGAACGAGGTTTCACTTTCAGTTTTTTTCCGGCAGAGCTATTACCTCAGTGCACCACTGAAGTGAGAGGGAAAAACATTGGAGAGCCAGCTCATTAAGCTAATGTAATATTAAACCAAGACTGGTTTGTGAAAACCAACGATGTCCTGTGCGTACTTTGAAGTTAACCAGGCCTGCCATTTTTATTTCTAATCCAGGATCTGGGTTTTTATTGTTTCACTTTCTGAAGTCGGTAGCTACTGTACGGTCCTCGGCCATCCCCTCGCCACCACAGACAGCACCGGGCACAACGCTGACTTTTTACACTCGGCCGATCTAATACTCTCAATTACTCTCAATATTGAGGGGGGGTTACAAGCGTCCCCCTCCTAATTTGGACTGATCTTTGTTTTTGTTGAAATCTGATTGGCTGTTGTTTCCATCGTGAAGGTGACCAACCGGGACCAGTGTTCCAGCTCACCTCGCCTTTCCCGGGCCACTCTTGTTTTGATCCAGTGCAGTGACGACGCGCTGCTACACACTAATGACGCACGTGTCAGGAAGACATCTTAAAGTGTGTTAAAGGTCCTCGGCGTCATCAGATCGTCTTTATACCGACAAAAACTGTACTAGCATTAAAACTACTGCCTTTCTGCTGAAGCTCTCCGTGACCTCGCATGTAAGGCCTCTCCATCTCAAAGTCAGTCCCAGTGATCAGCGTCCCTGCTGTGCACCGATGTCAGTTAAAGAATATTTGCACAGATTTGCATTTTTTCCCCTCCAAATTATTTATGTTGTTTTAGTTGAATGAGCTACTATTTCTTTTTTTCTTTTTTTTAAAGCCATCATCACGTGTCTGTTGAGCTTTCCTTCCCCATTGTGGCTGAAGGCCTAGCTGGCTTAAATCCGTTTTTTTTGTTTTTGTTTGGCTGGGAGCCTCTCAGGTGGAGGGCTGAACAGCATGGTGGATCAGCCTCTAGTGGGACGACTGCACTGTAGGAAAACCAGACTTGGCCCGGACGGCTCCTGACTGCCGAGCGTTTGTTCAGATGCAGAAGGCGCCGTGTCGTGTGCTGCTCCTGACGAGGTGTTTGTTTGGCTCCGCGTACAAACTCGCTGCTTAGCCACAGCACGCTAAAATAAACCCTAAAAAACAAAGTCGTGAATTACGCCGCACACATGAGAGCATTTAGTGTCAGTGGGGAATGTCGGACAAGGCAAATATGGTGTTCATCGTTAGTTTGTTGTTCTTTTACTTGTCTGTAAATACTTTTTTTCCTACCTGCCTACAGTACAAACTAAATGTTTTAACATCCGATAAAGATTCTGAGGATTGTACAGCACTTTGGTGGACATATATTCACTCATTCTTTATAAATACCTGACAGAACTATACCTGCTTTGTTATTAGTACCAAATACTGATGCTCTCCCATGCAGTGTGTCTGTGTACGTGTGCTACACATCTCTTAGTTTGACTGGTCGTGTGAGCCAGGCCACTCTGCAGTGCTCTGCTTGTGGTGAGCCAGCAAGCAGAAAAGATCAGTTCCAGTGTGTCTAAGATTATACGTAATAACGTTATCAATGACTGCATTGATATGAAGAGAATGTTTGTTGTACTGATCTATCTGTTTCTGTTTCAGCTGTTTGTCTGAGCAGAGCTACCAGGTCCACAGCAGCCCAGCACCAGTACCCACCTCCCAGAGGACACCCCCCAGACCTGCACCCTTAATACTGCGTCTCTACAATCTAGCCCATTCCACTAACTATCATTCAGAGGAGCATCCTTTGTGTCCAAGTTCACTTATTTACGGTAACTATTATTGTGTCATTATTTGTGACATGACTTTCCCCGTACATTATGAGGGTCGTTATTAGGTTGGAGAAAAACTAATTCACGTACACAATTTATTGACAATCTTCTAGCCATGAGTTATTATATCCTTTAATTTGGACTGAAAACAACTTTTTAACATTTATTTTTGGACACTCCTTTTTGAATAATTAAGTGAACTGACAGGGTAACTTATTTTTTATATGGAATTCATCCACACCCATGCTTTAAGTGATTGTCTTAGCTGTACTGAAGATATCATTTCATCAAGAAATAGAAGTCTGGTTGTTACGGTTTATTTGCTTTATTCTTATTTGTGTATTCTTGCAGGGGAGTTTGGTAGTTTATCATCTTTCCTGCATGTGTACTTTGCAGCGTTTGACCTTAACTGACATCGCTTTGTCAGGATCCAAACATTCCAATCAAACAGACTCTGACCGTAACGTACTTCTTTTATTTATAAAAGAAAAGCCAAAAGCTGTGCTCGCTCTGTATTAAGCATGTAATATTATTAATGCTACTTCTCAAGTTGTTGTTTTTCTGTAAACTGTGCTATGCATAGTGTTTTGGTGACTACTGTTCATTTTTTGACTCGTGTTGAATAAGCATAAATTCCTATATTGTGAGGTTGCCTTCGATCGAAGTAATCAAAGTGCTCTTGTTAGTTGACAGTGCCTGTGATGGTTTTGAATGTTGCCTTTGTCAAAGTCTAAAGGGCTGGTCACCCCAGAGTTTTCCACAGATCTTAATTCATTCCAATGGAATTTTTTTCCGCTCGCAGTGGATTTGCACCATCAAATTTAGTTTAACCTGCTCTGTCCAAGTATAAGCGGTTCCACAAAAGAACAATGGTTTGCAGACAGTAAAGAGACCGGAGTCAATGGTGCAAATATGTCCTTTGAATAAACTGTGTGGAGTTATTATCCCGTTAGCTAGGGGGGGGGGGAATCAACAGAGCAGGAGAGGGAAAATCTCCAGCCGGTGGGGTTAGCTCCAGAGTGTTGCTCTGCGGCACTGCCCCAGCTAGCCCTGCGGTTATAGTCACTGGAGCTACGTTAGCTAGGTTCTAAAAACAAACACTTTGCATAAATGCACAGATTAGTTTCACTGCACCTCTTTCTGGAGTGACCAAACCTAAACTGTGAAATCATGTCAGTCACAATGTGGCTTTGTTCACTTATTGCTAAAAAAGCATCTTAAACCTGAGATGATGATTTAATGTCATTGAAACCTTAACAAAGTTTGAAGAAACAACTGTAGTGCGTATGGCTGGTGAATTATGAAATAACTACATGTACAAGTATAGATTTCTGAATGGCATAGTTGTTAGAACAAATATCTTGATTTCTAAATATGTAAATATAATTGTATTCATAATGTTTTGATTTAGCTCATACTTTATTTATCTGGACTTCTGTTAATTAGACTTTTCTATGTTCTGTTTTTCAGTTGAAATCCAACATGTTATTAATCTAAAACTTGTATGCTAACAAATAAAATGTGTACATATTTTACATCCTGCTGGCTTCTCTTATTGCACCTTTTATGCGGCCATTGACTGCCTGCTGATCCTCACTCATGACTCTGAACGGGCCGCTAGTGTTAACACAGCTGAAGCCCAGCCGCTGACCAGAGACACACAGTAGGGGGGAACCATTAACTGTGTGTCTATGGGGGAAACTGTTCGCCCAGTTTTATCTATGTGGACGTTGTGTTTGGCTAACAGCTAACGGAGCTACACACACGGTTGCTCTTTTACCTTTTTATTGGACATCAACCTCGCGTTAACACAAGTATTGACGAAAATTGACTTAAAGCCTAAATAAAGGCTTTAAATGAAGCTGGTTGTGTTCATTCAATCACACAACCCAGCAGCGGTTGTTGTAGACACACCTGGAGAAGATCTGCTCTCAGCTGACTGCACCTTTCTACTTTCAGATTTTAAGGGCGATATTTTGTGTCGTCTCTTAAGCCTGTTTCCCACTGAACAAACCCCCTTTCTATTGAGCCTTTTTCTTTTAAATTGAACTTTATATATTTACTTTATATATATTTATAGTTTGGCTAATGAAAACAATATTCATTGCAGGCTGCATTAGTCTCTTCTGGTTGATTCTAGTGTGTTTTACAAACAAACATTTCGGATGAACTTATTTTAAAAGGCAACAACAGGGCCGACTAAGTCTGCGCTGTGTGGCCATTTGGTAGTCGAGCACTGCTCTTGGATGGACATCAATGAAAGGTGCTTATACTTTTTTAATCAATATCAATGAGCATATCATTAATAGTTCCTAAAATCAGAAATGATTTACTATATTAACAAATAGATTTCTGAAAAAGTTGAGTTGAGTGAAGCATCAGCCTTGTATTCTGCAGAACACTGCTGTTGTTGTTCTGCACTCTGGTTATTAATGTTTCAAAGAGTACTGTCGTTCATGTTGAAGATTTAATAAGCCTCTATTGTTGTTGTGTACATTGACAGGAGGATCAGTGATGTCAGTGAGTTAGGAAGGTTCCATGAGGTGACCCAGAGATTCTATTCAGAATGTTCTGTGTTCTGGTTCCATCAGCATTCATCACAATCTCTGTGTCTTTAGCCATAACCAAACAACCTTTGGATAGAGATGCACCATTACGGGAGAGAACCACTTTTTTCCACTGAGACAAAGGGATAGAGACACAACTGCTCATCTTCAACACATGGAGGAGATCCAGACGATCCAGATCTTCACGACTCCAGTTTGGAGAAGCAGACAGGAGTACCGGCAGGTAAGAAAAGTAATGTACTGCTGTAGAGGGGGGGGGGGGGAAACATCAAAATGTATTTGACACTTAAAATAAAATTAATATGCGCGTATTTTGGATATAGTAGCTTCTGTGGTCTGCAAGCTAAAATGTCGAGAGTGTAGCATAGCATCTTGTATGACAAGACATTTGTGATCTTGGAAGGAACCTGTTAAGATTTTTTTGTCGATGTTCACAATGAAGCCGACTGCAGTCAGTACACAGACTATCAGAGCAGGTTGGTGTAGAAAAACTAACAGAAACCCTATTATACTGCGATTTACGGGCAATGCTGAAATACATACAGTATACACCTGAATCAAGGAATTACATTTATTCTCTAGGAGCAGCTGCTTAATTAACCTTGTTGAGATCACTAATTCTCTAATTATGATTTGAATGCATTTGATAGCTTATTCATTAATGGGGATAAATGAAGCAGTTGACCTGCTGTGGTTTTCAGAGACAGCAGGTCTTGTGTCTTGTGTCCCTCAGGACATGGCTGATGATGGGCCATTTCTAATGGCAGCCTATGGTGGATAATTCTTAGATTAGGACTGTACATCACTGAGTCATTTGTGGTGGGTCTGTCTTCAAAAAGGCCTTTGTGTCCAAAACATCATTACTTCAATAATTCAATTGCAGAGCTAATAATTTGTGTGCAGGAATTGACACTTTTTCTTTAGGTTAACATTGGAATTCTAACCTTAATGCATTTCTTTGTTGCTTTTCTCGCCACTAACTTTGATCGTTGCTCAATGGGAACACAGGAACTTAAATGTCTGGGACAGCCAAGTTCACCTTCATCTTTTGATCGTCAAAGTTGACGGGTTGCCGTGTCAACCGGCCAGCATTTAACCTGGACGTTATGCAGATCCTCCAGAAACTGCCAGCGGACCGGTGAAGACTCCAGGGCACATTGCACCCCAGCTGAGTGCACATTCTCAGTGCGTTAAGAGTGTGTGTCACAAGTTGGGTCTGTACTTGTCTGAATATAAAGCCATGGAAGTTTTGACACTACTGAGTAAGTCGTGCCCACCATCTAGTGTTTGGAGGAGGAAGTGAATTCTGTGATGAGTTGATTGTGCAGAGAGACTCCTGCAACCAATACAGTGTTTAGAATCGCGTCATCTACCAACTGTGCAACAAATATACTGATTTAGTTAGTTAGAGGTAGAAGAGAAGGGATTTTATCATTACTCTGATATGAGACGTCATGACATTCTGTGCTAGCGCCACAGTATGTTATTGTTAAAGACTACTCGGCACACAAGATTTGGAAGATTGATTGAATGCAATCGGGAAGGATAAAAACAGTTGAAATGTTGCACAAATATATTAAATGTATTTTAATGACATTTTTATGTAATAATATATTTGACTATCTATCCGTCTATCTCTCTTTCATTCTCTCTCTTTTCTATCTGCCTGACTTTCTGCCTGACTCTTTATTCATACCATGAAGGAGAGATTGATAGTTGATAAAGGGTTGCATATGACTCCCTATTAAGTCCCTGGATAACCTTCTATGAGCCTCTGGTGGGGGTAGGATCGGATAAAGAGGACGTTTGTAACTGTTTGATAAACGGCCCAATGATTACAATCTCTCTTTACTTACTCCCTGACCACCAGCATTAACGCATCATTCTTACACCCACTCTCTGTCCGTCTGACTTTCTGTCTGTCTTAATGACTTACGGTCTGCCTGACTTTGTGTGACTGTCTCTCTGACGCTGTCTGTCTATGAGTCTTACTGACTCTCTGTCTGACACGATACCTTTAACACACATTACTAACTTTGCTTCTTCCCCGGAGTCTCTGTACTTTCTCGCCTCGCAGGTTTCCGTGGATCCTGGTTATACCTGGACTATGTTCTTGCCTCCTGCCGTGGTTCTGTCATGTGTGTTGTAACTCTGTTATGCTGTTCATTCTGTACACATGACATCTATTGCACTTCTGTCCATCCTGGGAGAGGGATCCCTCCTCTGTTGCTCTCCCTCTTTTCTCCCCGTTAAAGGGTTTTTCCTGTTCCGATGTGAGGGTTCCGGGACAGAGGATGTCGCATGTGTACTGATTGTAAAGACCTCTGAGGCAAATTTGTAATTTTGGGCTGTACAAAAATAAATTGAATTGAATAAGGGAAAAACTGTCAACTGTGTTCAACTGTGTAAAATTACTGAACAAGAGTAAACTAAATGGGAGAGCTGAAACCAGTTTTCGGAGAGTCCATCCATCCTTTCTATCCCTCTGTCTACTGTGATGTCATGAGAAGTCACTAGGGCAGGCTAGGGTGGGGTGGTGCAAGGTAATTAACAAAAACAGACAAAAATCAAAGGTTCCTAGAAAAAGGTGAAGTTTTATTCTTCTGTTACTAGGCAAATCAGGTAACTCTTTATCTAAATCAAAAGTCCAAAACAAACAAAAGCGTTCAAGTGGGGATAATGGTTCGTTAAACTGAACAGTATTAGAAAGAAACTCAATTTAGAATGTCCTCGGTTTCACAGGCTAGCGGGTCTTCTTTCTTTCCATCCTTCTCAGTCTGCTTCTGTACTGGACTTTATCCAGTTCTCCAGTCCGAGTTTGTTCTCGGAGCTCCTTCCAGCCGTGTGCTCTCTCCTTCTCTCCTCTGCAGCTCTTTAGTCCTGCCTCAATTAGGTGGCTTAAACACCCACACCTGGGTGGGTGTTGAGGCATTCTGGGAGCTGTAGTATGTAGATCGGCGGCCATTTTTATGGTGTGGCTGCTGATCTACAAAGGGAATGTAGCACCCCTCCAATACCTGGCCCCTTGTGATGCCACACTATCTTATCCATATATCTATCCATCCATCCCTTCAATCTGTCTTTCTTTCTGTGATGAGTTGCTTTGCCTCAAACTGCTCCTCTCCTATAGAGATCACAGTACACTTGAGGCATATTTACTTCATACACGGCTGAATTACCCACAAGGAATGTGCAACTGCCCCAGGACCCCACACCCTCCCGGGCCGCAAGGCCCCAGGTGTATGTGTAGCAAAAAGTTTGCTGTTATTTGACTAATTGCTTATCTGTATATATTAGACACATGGAGCCCATGACCTCCTTTACACAAAATATACACAATATGATGCCTCCTGGTGAGGCTCTGTGCATATACAGGTGCTGGTCATATAATTAGAATATCATCAAAAAGTTGATTTATTTCACTAATTCCATTCAAAAAGTGAAACTTGTATATTATATTCATTCATTACACACAGACTGATATATTTCAAATGTTTATTTCTTTTAATTTTGATGATTATAACTGACAACTAAGGAAAATCCCAAATTGAGTATCTCAGAAAATTAGAATATTACTTAAGACCAATACAAAGAAAGGATTTTTAGAAATCTTGGCCAACTGAAAAGTATGAACATGAAAAATATGAGCATGTACAGCACTCAATACTTAGTTGGGGCTCCTTTTGCCTGAATTACTGCAGCAATACGGCGTGGCATGGAGTCGATCAGTCTGTGGCACTGCTCAGGTGTTATGAGAGCCCAGGTTGCTCTGATAGTGGCCTTCAGCTCTTCTGCATTGTTGGGTCTGGCATTTCGCATCATCCTCTTCACAATACCCCATAGATTCTCTATGGGGTTAAGGTCAGGCGAGTTTGCTGGCCAATTAAGAACAGGGACACCATGGTCCTTAAACCGGTACTGGTTGCTTTGGCACTGTGTGCAGGTGCCAAGTCCTGTTGGAAAATGAAATCTGCATCTCCATAAAGTTGGTCAGCAGCAGGAAGCATGAAGTGCTCTAAAACTTCCTGGTATACGGCTGCATTGACCTTGGACCTCAGAAAACACAGTGGACCAACACCAGCAGATGACATGGCACCCCAAACCATCACTGACTGTGGAAACTTTACACTGGACCTCAAGCAACGTGGATTGTGTGTCTCTCCTCTCTTCCTCCAGACTCTGGGACCCTGATTTCCAAAGGAAATGCAAAATTTACATTCATCAGAGAACATAACTTTGGACCACTCAGCAGCAGTCCAGTCCTTTTTGTCTTTAGCCCAGGTGAGACGCTTCTGACGCTGTCTGTTGTTCAAGAGTGGCTTGACACAAGGAATGCGACAGCTGAAACCCATGTCTTGCATACGTCTGTGCGTATTGGTTCTTGAAGCACTGACTCCAGCTGCAGTCCACTCTTTCTGAATCGGTTTTGTTTCACAATCCTCTCCAGGGTGCGGTTATCCCTATTGCTTGGACACTTTTTTCTACCACATCTTTTCC